TCTTAAAAATAAAATTTATTAGCATCTCTCTAATGTGTGTATAAATAAAAACATTTATAAGAAATAATGCATATACGCATTATGAGCTGAACAATAACTGGATTATACGTGATACAAAGAAGAGGCTCACTAACCCCCGCTTTTCTTCCCATCTCCTCCTCCTCCTCCTCCTCTCTGTCTTTGTAACATTATTTCTTAGTATACGTCTGTGAGAAAGTACCTCAAAACTTCAAACTCTTCAAACAATATGCATACCTAGAAGTTTCAACACTACATTCGGTCATAAAAACAAAAGAACGACAGAAGTATAACAGCAACGATGGAGACGACAACACGGCGTTTTGGCAGTTTTACAATTTTCGGTTAAGAGAGAACTTTGCAAAACAGCTTCAACGTTGACGAATTAAAAAACGGTGACCCCAAAAAATAAGTAACTGATATGCAACTGAGTAGTGCCTCGCTGTGATCGTCTAGCTCAAGGGTGTCCAAACTCAATCCCATGAGGGCCGGTGTCCTGCTGAGTTTAGCTCTACCCTGCTTCAACACACCTGCCAGGAAGTTTCTAGTATATCTAGCAAGAGCTTGATTAGATGATTCAGGTGTGTTTGATTAGGGTTGGAGCTAAACTCTCCAGGACCGAGTGTGGACACCCCTGATCTAGCTCAACTGCACCAATGCATTGGCTGTTATTCTTCATTTTAAAGGGATAGTTCACCTAAAAAAGTTAAACAATGCACAATTTATTCCTTTCGTGTGGTTTTAAACCTTTGAGTTTCTTTTGTTGGACACCAAGGAGATGGTTTAATATTTAAAACTCTGGTGGATGCTACCCATCGACGTCTACAGAAAGAAAAACAATGGAAGTCAATGGGTGTCATCAATCAGCATTCTTCAATGCATCATCTTTAGTGTTCAACAGACGAAACTCAAAGTGGTTTCAAACAAGTGAAGAATGAGTAAATAATGACAGACTTTACATTTTTGGGTGAACTGTGTCTTTAAATAGCCAAAAATAAACAACAGCACTGAAATGACCAAAGCGAACCAATCCGGCAAGGAATAGTTCACCTCAAAAAATAAAAATTACTACCTAATTTAGTTTTGTTCTGTTAGACGAACCCAGAGTGGTTTTACATTTTATTCTGGCTCTTCTATAAGATATAATGGTGTTGGATGGGGACTTTTATTTTAAAATCATTTGAGTTGTTTACAACAATCCTGGAGAGCCCCGTCAATCTGTTGCACAAGCATTGCTTCAACAGTCTAGCAGTTTAATGTGTCATAGGGACTTTTATTTTGAAAATGTAAAACAATTAAGTAATTAATGCATGTCTTATGAAGCAGATCCATGTATTTTTGTAAAATAGAAACCTATAATTATGCTTAATTTTAATCGTTGATTTCCAGTGGTGTGCGAATGTACATTATATGCGCAACTGACTTATACGACATATAACGCATGACGTATTAATATCAGAAAAAATAAACGTGTCTCACGGGAACTACTTTCATCAGTTTGTTTACCACAGAAGATGACGACGAACTAGAAAATTCATTGGTTTGGCGTTCTCTTACAATACCGCGTATGCGTGTTTACCCGTCTTGCGTAATTGCGTTAAACATCGTAAACGTCAGTCATGCATAACATGCATTCAGCTTAAGTCAGTGATTGAAATTTATCATTTAAAAACTTGAAATATTCCAGTTGTTTACTAACAACTGGAGAACCCTGTCAATCTGTTAGTATGGAAATGAAAGCCGCACAAGCATCATTTCAACATTCTAGCAATAGTGTTGAATAGGGACTTTTATTTTGAAGCTTTCAAAAAAAAGTGCATAAGTCTGTCGTAGATCTAACTTATACGCTATCAGGTAATCAACACGTCTTATAAAGCATATCCATGTGTTTTTGTTAAAAAAAATCTACAATTTTGCTAAATTTTAATAGTTAATTTCCAGTGGTGTGCGAATGTACATTATATGCGCAACTGACGTATACGTCAAATAATGTATAACGTATTAATAGCAGAAAAAATAAACGCATCTCACCGGAACCACTTACAATAGGTTGTTTACCACAGAAGACGGCGACGAACTAGAAAATTCATTGGTTTGGCGTTCTCTAGCAATGCCACGTATGTGCGTTTACCCGTCTTACGTGATAGCGTTAAACGTTGTGAACGTCAGTTATGCATAACATGCATTCAGTCATCGCCTTTACTATAGAAACAAAAGCTGCACTAGCATTGTTTGACATCCTAGCAGTACAATGGTGTTGGATAGGGACTTTTATTTTGAAGCTTCCAAAAAAAAGTGCATATATCTGTCGTGAAACTATTGAACACGCCACCGGGCTATGTCTCATAAGGATGATTCAAGCATTTTTGTGACTAATATATGCAATATTATTAAATTACAAATTGCAAACAATGCGTGTTATGTGCGACTGATATATACGTGGGATACGAGACAAAAAGTTTGGTTAGACGCAAGTATTTGTCAATTTAAAAGTAATATGTTGTATAACATTAAATCGCACCAACTAGGTTTCTTGTTCGTCATTATATTCGGTGGTAAACCGTGTGATAAGAGGTTCCCGATGGATGCATCTATTTCCAGAGCTCCCATAACGAATGTCTTACATTATACGTAATTTACGTGCGTCGCGTATAACGTGCATTCGAGCACTGCCGGAAATCAGTGATTGAAATTTATAACTACAAATGTGAAAATATTTGTGATACAAAAACGCATTGATCAACTTCTTAAGACATGCGTTAACCCCCTGGTGGCGTGCGAGGCATTCCTTGAAGCTTCAAAATAAAAGTCACGATCATTATACAATATAAAAAGAGCCAGGACAATTTAAAACTACAATAAATGCGTTCGTCTGACGAAGTCATGCACAGAGAACGAGAGTGAGCATTTTAGGGTAATTTTCATTTTTAGGTGCACTACTCCAACATTTCACAATAAAAAAAAATCATTTTTGCATAACAACTAAAAAAAAAGCACAAAAAAAGTGGTAAAATATGATAAATTTTATATTGCTAACATTATCTGTCAGTATATGCATGAGACTGGACCTTCACGGGAACATTGTGACTAAAACGTTCGCTCTGTGGGCTCGGTAATATCCAGATTTCTAAGGCAAGTCCGAAGATTTACGATCTCCTCCTCTGCCGTTCACAACACGATGGTTTTGGTCATGCGTTCAACACACGAGGTGGTTCAAATCAAGTAAAAAACCACTCTGAAATCAATAGATATGCACACGTAACAAAAAAATAAACAAGCTGTCAGTTGTTTTGGTCTAAAACAGAAAAACGAAAAAGACGCGTAACACCAAAAATGCCAGAAAGCGCAGATACACGCCTTCGAAATCACAACACTGTGTGACGGTGCCATGAAACATTAAAAAAAACAACATGTAACAATGCTGAATTGGCCTTTTGTGTTTTTGTGTGTTTTTCCTCCCCTTTTTAACATCATACTTTCAAAAATAATCTTTGAAACAGGGAAGAACGTAAAGACGGATCGATACGGGAGTGAATGCGAGAGATGTGCCAGTGCATGATGGTTTTAAGAGCGTGAAAAACCTCTCTAAAGCGGATGGAATGAAGGAAGTACACGAGACGCTGAAGGGTGTAGATGTGCTCTCTGCTCTTCCCATGTCTTTAGAGTGCAAAGGAACCCTTTGTCTGACGTGTGGTGTGAAGCGCACACGCACAAACGCATGTATACATATACCGCTATAGGTGAATATATGTATACATGCATGTGTCTAGAGTTGAGGTGTCCCGTAACTAAAACTCGGAGAACTCCTTTGCACATTTTTCTGTAACAGATACGCGGATGTCTTCCTCTTCGTAGTCGTCGAAGTTGCTTGTGTCTCCTGGACCTCGGCACTTTGGTATGAACGGCGCCTCCACCTGGTGAACAATAGGAGATAGAGACATTAGCACAAGAATACCACATACACTCACCGGCCACTTTATTAGGTACACCTGTTCAACTGCTCATTAACGCACATTTCTAATCTGCCAATCACAATGCATTTAGGCATGGTCAAGACGATCTGCTGCAGTTCAAAGCGAGCAACAGAATGGGGAAGAAAGGGGACTTAAGTGACATTGAACGTGGCATGGTTGCTGGTGCCAGGCGGGCTGCTCTGAGTATTTCAGAAACTGCTGATCTACTGGGATTTTCACACACAACCATCTCTAGGGTTTACAGAGAAAAAGAGGAAATATCCAGTGAGCGGCAGTTCTCTGGGCGCAAATGCCTTGTTGATGCCAGATGTCAGAGGAGAATGGCCAGACTGGTTCAGCTGATAGAAAGGCAACAGTAACTCAAATAACCACTCGGGTCGAATCGAAATCTCAACTTTTTTTTACAATTTAATAATTAATCATGCAGCCATACTGTGAAGTTAGCCTTGAATTGTTTACTGTAAGTACTTAATTTAGTGGCTGTAGTAAAGGACACCCTGCCAATGGGGTGAACTGAAGAACTCGAGAATTATACCTTTCTCTCATAGATGGCTATCCAATCCGTTGTGGCAAACCATTTGTGGTTTTTTATATCATTGACTCCATTCCTCAGGTTGCCGAAGCGCTTGGTCAGGTCCACCTGCAGCAGATTCCTCAGCAGATCCTTCAGATCCGAACTGAAGTGCGACGGGAAGCGCACCTACAACACACAATCAGAAATTAGCAGTCGATGGGGCATTTATTGACTAAACTGACTAAAATGCTGCATTTTCATGACCCTCAATGAACAGAAAAGCAGGTCGCTGTTGTGCTTTGCGGAATTGCAAATTGGGTTTAGCTTGAAAATCCTTTTGCAAGAGATTAATAGCCACTGTTAGGACTGTGTTGTTTGGTGTTCCTGTGTGTTTGATTTGATTCTAGATTGGGGCGTGCCTTTAGCGCACCTGATGCTGGTCAGCGCCCTTATTTAAAACCCGGCAGAGAGCTTGTCGGGGCCGCTGTCCATTCACTTGACAGTTGGCCAGAGCTGCGCTCCAATTTGGCCATTATGCTTTGTTTCGCATCCATACACCATCACTGACAACATTTACCGCATCCATACACTTGCATTTCACACTGATTGAACATACTGATGCTGATATTTTGATTATATAATTTAAATTGAGTTAAATAAATCTTCTTTTTGATTATACTTCGCCTTGACGTCTCCATGAGCCAACATGTTACATCCATGAGCCAGGTGTAACAGCCACTATGAGCACAACAATAGACAATTTACCTCAGATTATGGAAAAATTTGATCTATCTTTTATTGAGATATACTGAATGGGTGTTGGTGCCGATTGGGTAGCTTTACATAGACATAGGAAAATTAACATCTGTTTAAATGAAGACATTCAACAGAATATTTCAGTCAATTTAAGACTTTTTAAGGCCTCCCTGGAAACAACATGGTTATGTTTATAATGACTGAAAATTGATGACGTAAATGTGATTGATTTAAAAACAGAGGAAGAAATTTAGACAAAGAATATAAAATAAAAGAATTTCCAAAAGTAAAAAATCATCAAAATGACAATATTTAGTAGGTGCGGATCACTAGGCTACTTCGTGAAACATTTACATTTACATTTAGTCATTTAGCAGATGCTTTTATCCAAAGCGACTTACAAATGAGGACAAGGAAGCAATTTACACAACTATAAGGGCAACAATGAGTATGTGCTGTAGGCAAGTTTCAGGTGTGTAAAGTCTAAGACTTTAAGAAGAAAGGTATTAGTAATTTTTTTTATTTTATTTTATTTTTTTGAGTACAGTTAGTGGTATATCCAGAGAGGCAATTGCAGATTAGGAAGTGAAGTGGAGACTAAATAGTTGAGTTTTTAGTGGTTTCTTGAAGACAGCGAGTGACTCTGCTGTTCTGATGCAGTTAGGGAGTTCATTCCACCAACTGGGCAGATTGAACGCGAGAGTTCGGGAAAGTGATTTCTTCCCTCTTTGGGATGGAACCACGAGGTGACGTTCATTCACAGAACGCAAGTTTCTGGGAGGCACATACATCTGCAGAAGTGAGAGCAGATAAGAAGGAGCAAAGCCAGAAGTCGCTTTGTAGGCAAACATCAGAGCTTTGAATTTGATGCAAGCAGCAACTGGCAGCAAGTGCAAACGGATGAGCAGCGGAGTGACATGTGCTCGTTTAGGTTCATTGAAGACCACTCGTGCTGCTGCGTTCTGAAGCACCTGAAGAGGTTTGATAGAGTTAGCTGGAAGCCCGGCTAGTAGAGAGTTTCAGTAATCCAGTCTGGAGAGAACAAGAGCTTGAACAAGGAGATGAGCTGCATGTTCAGATAGGAAGGGTCGGATCTTTCTGATGTTATAGAGTGCGAATCTGCAAGATCGAGCAGATCTAGAAATGTGGTCAGAGAAGTTTACTTGGTCATCAATCGTTACTCCAAGGCTTTTCACCATTTTGGATGCAGTAATGGTTGCCCCATCCATCTGGATTGAAAAGTTATGGTGTAGAGTCGAGTTGGCAGAAACAGGATAAATAAAAACTAAAAATCAATAATATTTTATGACTTCCCTGACTTTAAAATCTGGAACAGAACTTATTTATTTCACAATATCACAGAACCTGTGGGAATGCTGTAAATCTAATCTCGTGACCAGACCATACCTGTCAACACTGGGATGTGAAAATAAGGGATGATGAACTGTTTAGAAGATTGCATAGGCATCTGTAATGCGAAGGAAGGGAATCCTGCCATTTTTATGTTTATTTCAAAGTGTTTTATGCCTAAATGAAATGAAAGCACAGAATAAATTTAAGTTTAAGAGAGAGGGGCGGCCCCTGGTGGTTTGGCGGTATGGGTTATGCATAGGGAGGATTGGCTCTTTAATGTTAATCGCCACCCTTTGATGGAAAACACAGGAGAAATACCAGAAAATACCTTTATGGGATGATGGCGAGATAGAATTGTAAAATACGGGAGATACTTGGGACAAACAGGAGGGTTGACAGGTATGTACCAGACACAGGTATTAAAGTATTAGTTCAACTAAAGATAAACCTCATCCCCTTGCCATCCAACATCTTCAGTCAAAATTAATTTTTCAGAGGAAATATGCTTGGTAATAATTGTTTTTTATTTAATTAAAATGACCTAAAGTAACTTTGTAAGACTCCTTAAATCTAAAACACAAGCAAATAACAATGTCTTTTGTTTGTCATTTTTTTGACAGTGAAAGTGTTGAGTTATCGTTTCACCTCCACCAATTATTTTTGAGGAAACTTACATACTTTTGGGGAAACACACACAAATCCACTATATGGAGACAAATCCTGCATGTTTTGCTTATTTCTATTTCGACTGAAGAAATGGATCGGATGCAAGATGTACAAAAATTAAGGACATTTTGATTCTGCGATTGAATCAAGCCTTTAGGGCACAACGCAAAATGCCAATACCTTTCCAGACACAATTTTCTCATAGATCTGAATGGGCTGGTCTGCAAAGAATGGAGGATATCCAGCTGCCATTTCATATATGAGAACGCCGAGGGCCCACCAGTCCACAGCCTTGTTGTATCCCTAAATGTCAACAAAAAATAAGTCAAAGAATCAAGTAAAAGAAAAAAAAAGTGCGGCATGTCTGGAAATTTGGATTGTGGTAAAAAAATAAATAAATAAATAAATAAATGCTGACCTTGCTGAGGATGATCTCGGGCGCCAGATACTCCGGAGTTCCACATAATGTCCAGGTTCTGCCTTTTACTCTTTTCGCAAATCCAAAGTCTGTTACCTGCGTGAGGGGGACAATTGTTTAATACATTTATATTTATTGTATAATCTGTTCACTAGAAAATATTCAAAAATAGAGATCAAATGGCATGTTTTGTGTGCCATCTTTTGATGCGCTCATTGTACTGTTAAAAGCATGTTAGAGATGGGGGGTACATTTTAGTCACGACTCTATGGAACAAAATCAATGCCAAAAGTCTTGAATTAAAAAGCTTGTTGAATATCACAAACTGAAAACAATAATACACGTATTAACAAGTTCTTGCATTTTAATGAATTGAATTCCAGGGTTTGTATTTTTAGGTCCTGAAATTTAACATATCTGTTTATTTAAGCTGTGAATATTTCAACTAAAAATATTTCAAACACGTTTTCATACTTAAAAATTCAATAACTCATATTCAATTTTCAGATTTCACTTACAAAATATTCAAAACCTTTAAAAATGCGATGTATAATATTCAAAAGGTCATTTTCAGTTCATTTAATTTCAGTTCTAATATTCGCTTCCATAAATTCAGTGGATCAAATTCGACTGTTAAAATTCAACATTACATCCGGGAACTGCAGGAGAAGCAATAGATTGCAGAGTGAAGATCGCCAGCTGCTCTAGCTTTCACCAGCAGGTGGAGATGGAATAATGTAAGATTTTTAACCCAGTAAACAGGCGAGAAAAAGGCTAATAAAGGCAAAAAAGTAGCATTTAATTTTAATATCAATGCCCTGGACATTATAAATAATAAAAAGTATGAGTAAAATGAGTAAATGAGGGTTTAGTCATCTATATTTGCCCTTATGTAACGGAAGCCAGCTGGTGATTGCGTAAAGCTCACTCCTCGGATCCTGGGACAGACGTTGTTCTGCAATCTTATCGGAGCTTGTCTCCCATCGCTCCCTGCTCGGACCGGTGCGGTTACTTGCACATAAACCGTCTTTTGATGAATATGATGTTACACATTGTCTATCTTTATTGACTCTTTCTTCCATAGACGCGAAGTAATATATTGACAGCTAAAGAATATAAACGTAAGAGAAACAGGAGAGGAAATATTATTATATTAAATATTATAATAATAATACAAAATAGACAAACATTGACAGAGCTAAGAACAATTACGAACAAAGATATTCAAAACCAGAGAGATTTTATGAGAATGTCACAAAACAGTTTACTTGGAACTGTTAAACAGAGTTCAGGTATGGTTTGAGGCTAGTTATGGATGGGGCGTGTAATTTAAAATAATTTAACATGCGAATGCATTAAAGGAGCGTCTTCAGTTATTATTTAAACGCAGCTATGTCAGGATTGGGATAGGTTAATTTCATCATTTAAATTATGATTGTTAATATTATTATTTTATGACATGTATTTGGGCTATTGCGCTTAAATAAGTCATCTGTGATTCTAAATTATTATTTTATCTTTTTTAGCTATCACTTTGCTATCGTCTTTCTCTTCTTTTTTCTAATTTTTGGGGTTCTGCCACGGTTAAACGTTTTGCAAAATGTCTTTAGTTTGTCCAGATTATTGCTTGTCCTCTAAAATAGAGTCAGAAAAAAATTATCCAAGGTTTCACTTTCCTTGCTCTGCATTGTGATTATTTTCAAAACAACAACTATCTGTGAGCGATTAGTTTAGACTGATCATGTCTGATCATGATCTGGTTACCTGTATATATCCATGCTGGTCAATAAGTAGGTTTTCAGGTTTCAGGTCTCTATAGATGAGGTCTAGTGAGTGGAGGTACTCAAAAGTCAGGACGATCTGTGCAGCATAAAACCGTGCATGTGGTTCACTGCCGATCACAGAAAAATCACAAGTTAGAGATGAAAACAGCAGATCTCAATGACAGCCAGAGATACACGAGGGCTCTGTTTAAATGATCACAGGTTCACCTAGGGAGTGTCTGAATTCACTTTTGCTATTTTAAGGATAGGAAAAACACCCACCACGCCCAGCGCATGATTCAAAAGGGTTGTTATTAGGCCATGTCCATATGTACACAAGTATTTTTAAAAACAGTTTTCCCTGCCTTCAAAAACACACTGTGATGTATATTAAGGACACATGAACTAACAGGCAGTGATAAAAGCCTTTTAAGTTAAGTTCACACTAGGGTTGGGCGATGTCGATCAATTTGTCATCATACGATGTCTAATATGAAACATCACGATGGACGATGGCATCGTCGTCATTGGCGGCGGTGAATTAATTATGACTAATTAATTAATTCATAACGAATTGGTTATTTTTAGCCTACCGTTATAACTACTTGACCCGCATGGCCTTTGTTTTACCTATAACCAAATCATAAATGAATAAAGATAAGTTACACACATATTTACCACCTGTCAATTACTTTTTCAGCAGGACTCGTGAATAAGTGTGAATAGGCAGAAATTGGGACTAGTTCAACTTTTCAAGCGCCGACGGAAGCGTCAGGGAATCAGATCGCTGTATGCAAATACACCAGCTAGACAGCGGCCTATTGCTGACCGAATTTCATTGGCTAACGCTTCCATGACGATCGCTTCAGCCCCAACTTCAGACAAGCCTTCAGTCAAGCGTTGACGCTGAAGCCCTGTGTGAATGGGGCGTCAATGCCAACACAATGAAATGTAACAATGTAAACACACCAGCATGCCCATGAGCGTTAAAGTTTTTGGCTTTTATAAAAATAAAAAGCATGACACATGATGTGAAAATAACACCTGCACTGGGCTTAAAGTATAAAAAAAAAACACTTGTTGCACTGTGACAGGTGTATGACAGGGCCCTCAAAGTTCATTCCCTTTGTGAACAACACACAAAATCTGGTGAATATAGACTTTCAAAAATGTAAATGACCCAAGCATCTCTACTGTGTTGGAGTTTAATGTTGGTTTAATCAAGTCTTCACTTACCTAAACCTCCCGATTCGTCTAAGATGCGAGAACATCTCTCCTCCGGGTACATACTCCATCACCATATACAAATTAGAGTTGTCCTGTGAGAGCAAAGACAGAATTAAAATGGACAGACACAAAACTAGTGGTCAACCTTAATAGGTTGTGCTATTGCTTCTGATTTGGCACTACCTCTCCACAACACAATATTATTATTTCTGCCATGCTGTCACTATAATATATGTCAATATATATACAGTTGAAGTCGGAATTATAAGCTCCCTTTTGATTTTGATTTTCTTTTTTAAATATTTCCCAAATGATGTTTAACAGAGCAAGGAAATTGTCACAGTATGTCTGGTAATATTTTTTCTTCTGGAGAAAGTCTTATTTGTTTTATTTTGGCTAGAATAAAAGCAGTTTTTAATTTTTTAAAAAACATTTTTGGGACAAAATTATTAGCCCCTTTAAGCTTTTTTTTGTTGGATAATCTACAGAACAAACCATCGTTATACAATAACTTGCCTGATTACCCTAACCTGCCTATTTCACCTTATTAACCTAGTTAAGCCTTTAAATGTCACTTTAAGCTGTATAGAAGTGTCTTGAAAAATATCAAGTAAAATATTATTTACTGTCATCATGTCAAAGATAAAATAAATCAGTTATTAGAAATAAGTTTTGAAAACTATTATGCTTAGAAATGTGCTGAAACAATCTTCCCTCCATTAAACAGAAATTGGTGGAAAAAATAAACAGGGGCGCTAATAATTCAGGGGGGCTAATAATTCTGACTTCAACTGTATGTATGTATGTATATATATATATATATATATATATATATATATGTAGTGTATATGAGCTTCATGGATATATTTATTTTATTAGATTAGATTTATTTACATTTTTTATATCTGATTGGTTAACAAAACTGATATTTTCTCTAAAAATTACAAAATATTAGAGTATAAAATAGACCAGGGTTTCTGCAGATATCATAATGTCAAATTTGAGACTTTTTAAGACCCTTAAGTATTAAATTTCAGACCTATATCACAATATCAAAAACACCCTCCCTTTATTCAAGTGTTCAATACTTTTTCCATGTATCATTAATGAATTAAAGAATACCTTTTCTTGGCTAAAGGAGACGTGGTCATTGCAGATTAAATGGAAAGTACTGTCTGACCGACCTGTTTACCAATGCACAAAGTTAATGAACAGTGTTACTGTACCTTGAAGGCATATTCCAATCTGACGAGGAATGGGAAGGAAACTGCTTGTAATATTCTCTTCTCGTTTAGCGTATGCTCCACTTGTTTCAACTTCACCACCTGGCAAAAAATGATGATAATGAATAAGTTGTGAAATTAACTAAATGATCATATGCCCTGTAGAGAAAGAAATCATACATGCTTGGGAGAGTTTAATGAGTTTTACAACCAACCTTTTGTTTGTCCAGGACTTTCATGGCATAGTACTGATCTGAAGCCTTGTGTTTAACCAACAGGACTCGCCCGAAGGATCCCGTGCCCAGAGTCTTCTGTCTGTCAAAGTCATCTAAACAAGTTGTGCTCTACAGAAAATAATCAAAAAATAAGATTATCAAATGAAAATCTATTAATACAAACTTCATTCATTCATTCATTCATTCATTCATTCATTCATACATTCATTCATACATTCATTTTCCTGTCGGCTTAGTCCCTTTATTAATCCAGGGTCGCCACAGCGGAATGAACCGCCAACTTTTCCAGCAAGTTTTTACGGAGCGGATGCCCTTCCAGCCGCAACCCATCTCTGGGAAACATCAACACACACATTCACACACACACACACACACACACACACACACACACACACACACACACACACACACACACACACACACACACACACACACACACACACACACACACACACACACACACACACACACACACACACACTCACTCACTCACTCACTCACTCACTCACTCACTCACTCACTCACTCACTCACTCACTCACTCACTCACTCACTCACTCACTCACTCACTACGGACAATTTAGCCTACCCAATTCACCTGTACCGCATGTGTTTGGACTGTGGGGGAAACCGGAGCACCCGGAGGAAACCCACGCAAAGGCAGGGAGAACATGCAAACTCCACACAGAAACGCCAACTGAGCCGAGGTTCGAACCAGCAACCCAGCGACCTTCTTGCTGTGAGGCGACAGCACTACCTACTGCGCCACTGCCTCGTCCACTAATACAAACTTATTAAAATATAATATAGATACAGCAAAAAAACAAACAAACAAACAAACACATTTCTTCCTGTTACATCCTTAATATATAAATGCTTCCAATTTACTCAAGTTAAATTTGCCTGAAAAGCGAACAAATTTAAATGCAGTATGTGCGTTTATCTGTATAAATTCTCAGTATAAATTTACATACTGTATAAATTTGTATAAATTTATTTTAATTCTAATTTGATCAACTATTACTTAACATCAACAATCAAAAGTTTTTTCTGAACGCAACCTCAATGTACAAGTAGCTCAAACTCGCTCATTCAGAGGCGGAAACCGACGGACGTGCAACAACTTTAATCATAAGGTAAACACAAAACAAAAGTTTCAATCTGAAGTTCCTTCACGAGATTCCACACCTGTAAACACTCGCTCCATCAGGCTCGTGGCGTTCAGCACAACCCATACTCATCACAGATACCAAGCCGACCAATCACAAATCTTGCGCTATGCATCATTGCGATGTATAGTTACATTTTTTTGAGAGGTGTGCTTCAGCGCCAGCCATGGCGAGGGGTCTGTGATCGCGCGAAGGCTGCATCGAACCATACACAAGTGCTTCACGCATAAGCGTAAATCAACCTTTACTCCCCTTTGTTTATGGTGGGCGTGACAGCAGCTGGTTTGGACACTGCTGATTGGGCAGAATGAGGCTGCGCTTAAGCTATTGGCAGAGCTGTAAAGAATTCATCCGCCCTCAGATTCAGACAGAGAATAAATATGTTGGTATATTTATATTGCATTCACATTGCAGCCTTTGCGATTAGCTAATCACAATATGTTTCAAATCAGAACTGTATTTCAATTTCAACTAATCTTTTAGCCCTAAATTCTAATGTTGAAAACCAGTAGCCGATGACTTCCATAGTATTTTTTCTTTTTTCAACTATGAAAGTTTGGGGAAGCACAGTGGCTCGGTGGTTAGCACTGTAGCCTCACAGCAAGAAGGTCGCTGGTTCGAGTGCCGGCTGGGCCAGTTGGCGTTTCTGTGTGGAGTTTGCATGTTCTGCTCGTGTTGGTGTGGGTTTCCACTGGAGGAACAGTCCAAAATGTAATGTATTTTTTATTTAATGCCATGTCAGCAACCAAGGCTATTTTCATGGCAGGAATCTTTCAATCATAAATATACAATTTAAAAATCAACAAACAAAATAAAACATAAATTAATTAAGATTTTTTTGTGTTTATACATGATAAAAATTCTAAAATCTTTTCCGGTTTCACTTTGTTAAAAATGTCCTTTAAAGAGTTCATTTCATAAAAAAGTCTTCTGGAATCAGTAAAAGCAGGACAGTCCAGTAAAATGTGTTTTATAGTAAGAGGAGTTTTGCAGCACAAACACTGAGTGGGGTTTTCACCTTGGAGCAAAGAATCCATGTGTTATTCTCGTATGCCCAATACAACATCTGGTAAAAACTACTTAATCAAATCGATTGTTAAAATGTCTTAAAATTATGTGTGAAACTTCAGGTTGGATTTCAGGTAATTTATTGTTTTCTAATGCATCCCATTCCTTTTGCCACTTGTTTAAAATGTAAGCGTTAATAAAAGGTTTCATCTCTGATGGAGGAATTTGGCATTTGTTCACTACTTGCTTCAAAGCATCTTTAGCAGCTGCATCAGCTCGCTCATTGCCTGAAAGTCCGACATGTCCTGGAACCCAGCAAAAAATGATGTGATAAAACTGATTTTGTAGTTGGTGAACTTTAGTTAAGATATTATCAATCAAAGGATGATCATTCTTTGAAGATTCCATAACTTGGAGGCATGATTTAGATTCTGTAAAAATGATGGATTTCTTTTGTTGGGCATTTTCTATATACTCCAATGCTAAAAGTAAAGCGCGGGCTTCAGCTGTGAATATGGAACAGTCCAAAAACATGCGCTATAGGTATGCGTGTGTGTGTGAATGAGTATGGGTGTTTCCCAGGGCTGGGTTGCAGCTGGAAGAACATCCACTGCGTAAAACATATTGCAGTTCGTTGCCTTGTACTTGTACATGTGTAATCAGGGCCGGAGTGGGACTCCTTTTCAGCTCTGGACTTTCAAGCCTTAGACCGGCCCACCTCAGTCGACGACTGACGATATTAAAATCATTTACAATTCAGTTTTAAAGGAAACTAACACGTCTTTTTCAAGGAGACAGCTGCTTTAGAACTTCAAATATTTTTCATAAAATTGAGAACATTAATTCTTTATAGATATCCAGTCCTTTGTAACGGTCATCACACGAAAAAAAATAAGTACCCCAACATAAGTAACCCAAACAGTATTTTATGTCTTCACACTGAAAATGTAAAAAATATATTATACTCTGGTGAGGTTTGAACTCGGATCAGCTGCGTCGTAACATAACGTGCTAACCACTAGACCACGGTGGCGCTGTTAAGTATTGCACTGTTATCTGCAGCTATTGATGTCTACTATCTTTTTTTTTTACCCTACTCTTTTTCTCCCCTTTTTAGATTTCTGATCAAGTTATGTCAGATTTATTAATGTAGTGAATCATCTGATTGTCATTAAGCAGGTGTAATATTCATTAATATTAATTAATATTCACTAAGGTGCCGCTGTTTGGGGTGGAATGGGGTGCATGATGATGCAGGTTAATGATGCGGGCTGCATTTTGCTCACGGGGCTGCAAGAAAATAAAAAAAAAGAGCGGAGCTGTGGCAAAATAATGAATAAAAAGAGTTATGGTCAAATAAACAAATAAATGCAAAAAGTGCAACTGATGAAAGTGCAAGCAGCTAGGGACACCGGCCCTCGCGGCCAAAAACCGGACCGGCCCACCTGGAATTCTCCAGATTAGCCAATCCGGGCCTGTGTGTAATGACAATAAAGTTGAATCTAATCTAATCTAATATGCTGGTATAGTTGGCAGTTCATTCCGCTGTGGATAGCCCTGATAAATAAGTGACTAAGCCTAAGGAAAATTAATGAACGAACTATGGAAATCAATGGCTACCAGTTTTCAACATCCATCAAAATATCTTCTTTTGTGTTCAACAGAAGAAACAAGTAAGTAAATGTTCATTATTTGGAGGGTGAACTATCCAGTTGTTACTCACCTGTTGTGGCGATTCCCATTTTCTCAAGAAATCTTCTTTGGCTTTGGCTAGAAACTCTTTGACTGTGAGGAAGAGTAAAAAACGAAATGAGCAAAACCAAGCAAACGCTCCAACTTTTGTTAAAGGAAGTCAACTAAATGAACAAAAATTATCCACATTCAAGTCTAAATAGATTAGAAGTGCACAAGGGAACATTTTTCTAGCTAGTCACACATTCTAGACATGAAAAATCGAGCTGTCATGGACATCATGGCTTGTGTGAGGCATGCATTTATCATTAACAAAGGAGCAAGACATCAACAATCCAACATAAAACACCACAGCAGACTTCAGTTGACCACAGTGATGGAAAAAAGAAAGCTATTCATTGTATTTACTGCGGCTTGTCTTACAGCGGCCGAGAGCATTTACAAAAGTCGTGTTTTTTCCATCACTGAAGTAACCTAATGTAATTGTGATCATACCAAAAGTCTCTACAGATCAGCAAGGATTTTCAGGAACATTCACCCACATGGATGGGATGATGAAGAATCAGACAGAGAAGAGGAGAAGGACAAAGAGAGAGAAAGAGATAAAAGAAAGATTTCCGTCAAACAATCACATAGTTAAGCGGCATGGATTAGACGTGACAAAAGTACAGCATTAACAAAACTAGACAATGCAAACGCTGAGAGAAATAGACACTGGTTCAGCACTTAATCACACAACTATGATGACTGCTGGAGACAACCTGAGGGGAAACATCATGGTTTATCACAGGATTGCAAAATCGCTGAGTTTGACTTGTTTTATGCGATTGTAAAACATGACTGCTCACTTTCTGAAGCTCTACTGATGCTTTCTCTTTCCTGAAATAATATCAAACATACAGTTGAAGTCTGAATTGTCAGCTCCCCTGTGTATTTTTCCCCCAATCTCTGTTTAACAGAGAAAATTCTCAACCCATTTCTAATTATAATAGTTTTAATAACTCATCTCTAATAACTGATTTATTTTCTCTCTGTCATGATGACAGCACATAATATTAGACTAGGTATTCTTCAAGACACTAGTATTATGCCTAAAGTGACATTTAAAGGGTCACGAAACACCCAAAACACATGTGTTGAGCTGTTGACATTTATGACGTATATGTGTCCCACACTGCTAAAAACACAATTAGGACACCTATATTTTACTAAAAAGTGTAAATTGGTTGTTTTTGCGTTATTTCAAGCTAATTCGTACTTCCGCTTTGAAACAAATTTTTGAAGCTGCGTCACGGTCATGAGATAATAGCGTGTATTCCAGCGTGCAGACTGGACGTCTGTGCCAGAGTGAGTCTTATTACGTCTTACAGTGTGCTGCATTAATGCATGAGTAAAGCTTGGTTCAAACCAATCAGCGCGCTCTATTGTGCAACTTCATTAATATTCATTACTGTCACAGTGTTTATACGACAGAGACGCCACGTTGTGTTGGCAAAACAAGTGTGAAGTGTTGCTTTTATAGTTTGCTGCAGTTCAGTTTTGTTTTCATTTTCTCTCTGTGAGAGCGCAGCTGGAGTCACATGTGGATTAACAGTGTACGCGACGCTCGACAACAATAACTTACGTGTCTAAGGAGGAACATTGTTTACCTGAGAGCTGTTCTCATCTGCAAACGCTGAGATCCGGATTCTCTTGTAGTCTCCTCTTAATAAAGACGCGGCTCTAGTTGCTGGTGATTGTCCTGTCTCTACAGATTTGGTAAGTGAGCGACCAGTGCTCTTTGTTTATTCAGTTCGTATTTTATTCGTATCAAACAAACTATTGCACCGAGTGTAAACAAGTTAGCACTACAACCAAACTATAACCTCGCGTTGGATTTTGTGACCGGAATAACACACGCGGCTTTCTGACACTACCTGTCGAGTGCATCTAAGTTTCTGGGAAATGCTGAGTTTTTTTATCTCTCATTCGCCGTGCGGTATCAAACATTGCATGAAAAATACACGCTTAGAGCAGTTCCTCGAATGAAATATCACGTTTGTCGCGAGGTACATGAATGAATTCCCTGAATGAAAGAGCCAAACTGCAGTTAAAATCCACCATTTAATAATTTGGCAAATAATTTGACTACAAATGTCCATGTAAACACAGTCACTTTGTCCGCTGTGGGTGTGTGTTTTGACTCTGAAATTCAGCGCGCCCAAATAGACACTCCCACACCGTGCCTCTTTTCTTCCTCCGACACTCCCCCCTAAACAGAGCTGGACACGCCCACTTTTCTGACTTTTTCCAAAGTAGAGGTGTGAAAACACCCTGCTGAAACCAGGGGGTTTCATGGCCCTTTAAAGGGTCATGAAACACCAAAACACGTTATGAGCTGTTGACAGTCGTATATGTGTCCCATACTGCTATAAACACTATTAGGACACCTATATTTCACTAAAAAGTGTAAATTGGTTGTTTTTGCGTTTTTTCAAGCAAATTCGTACTTCCGGTTTGAAACGAATTTTTGAAGCTGCGTCACGGTCATGAGATAATAGCGTGTATTTCAGCGTGCAGACTGGACTTCTTTGCCAGAGTGTGTCTTATTACGTCTTACAGTGTGCTGCATTAATGCATGAGTAAGGCTTGGTTCAAACCAATCAGCGCGCTCTATTGTGCAACTTCATTAATATTCATTAATGTTTACAGTGTTTAGACGGCAGAGAGACACCACAATGTGTTGCCAAAACAAGGTGAAAAGAGAAGGTTTTGTTTTCATTTTCTCTCTATGAGAGCGCAGCTGGACTCACGTGTGGATTACAGTGCGCGCGACGCTCGACAACAATACGTGTCTAAGGAACATTGTTTGCCCGAGAGCTTTTCTCATCTGGAAATGGTGAGATCCGGATTTGCTGCTCGTCTCCTCTTAATAAAGACGCGGCTCTAGTTAGTTAGTTAACTGTCCTGTCTCTACAGATTTGGTAAGTGAGCGACCAGTGCTCTTTGTTTATTCATTTTTTTATTATATCGAACTAGAGTTAGGACGATTTTAAGGGCCCATACATTTAGGGGGGCCTCGGAGACATTATCATAGGCCCGCGCCCCCCGCTCTTCACTTTTATCCGCCCCGAAAAATAAAACAGAAACAATTCATGATTTCTTGTGCGGCCTGGTACCAATTGATCCACAGACCGGTACCGGTCCACAGCCTGGTGGTTGAGGTCTACTGCTTTAGAAGAGTCAAAAAACGTACATACAGCCCTTTTAAATAGTGGTATAGAATGGCAAAATACTGTAAAACCCCACGAAAAACAGAAGTGTTTACAAGAATGCTTTGTGGAAGCATATAATAAACAGTATTTGGTATTCAAAGTAAAACCAAACTGCCAGACAAAAAAAAAAGTGGTGGTTGAAGACCCCTGCTGGAGACAATCCAAAACAAAATATTGCTTGACGGGCTAATAATATTGACCTTAATTTATTATTTTTTAAAATTTAGAACTGTTTTTATTCTAGCCAAAATAAAACAATTTTTTTTCCAGAAGATATTATAGGAAATACTGTGAAAAATTCCTGAATCTGTTCAACATCATTTAAGAAATATTTGAAAAATAAAGGAGGACGCGGGCGGGTGAATAATTGTGACTTCAATTGTATTAGTTGCAAGATTTTTAAAATAATATCATATTGCATATCGAATTATTCTTATTTCTTGAATACCGCACAGCTCTAACAGCTAACTTGTGTCACTCTGGCTGTTTGAAGCTTTCTGCCACAGCAAACGTCTGCAGGAGGATCTTCTCACTGTCTCATCCTTTTATGGTATGCTCTTCTTCACAAGTATGCCACGGCCTGGAATGAACCATTTAGTAAAATACAACCGCTTAAAATTATGGTTCAAGATTTAAGGCTAAATGCGTTTATATTTTGAAATCAGTCCACCGATTTGTAATAATGTTGTACAGAAAAACATTTATATAGAGCATTTGTTTTAGATCAAATTAGAGGTGCCTGTAACCATTGACTTCTACAGTAGAAAATGCAAATACTATGGCAGTCAATGGTTACAGGTTTTTCTGATGTTTTCACTGTCAGTAGTACCAAAATAATAATCAGCACCACATTATTAACAGCTAACTGTGATCCAAAAGAGAATCACAATGCAATCAAACTAATTCAAAACCGGCGCTTAATTATTTCTCAATTTATGATGCATTAATTTGTTGTTCCATCCTTAATTAATAACCAATCAACATGTGCCACAACACTAGCAACCCTCAGTGTAAAAAACATTCTTATTTTAGGCTTCTTAAGAACAACATTTGCTTCATTTTTTGTCAGGAGGTACACAAAATCAAAACACGAGCCTACGCATTTAACATATACGTACATCTGCTTATATACATGACATATGTAATAAAATGTAAAGTAAGTCCTGTACATGAGCCTCCTATAAAATTAAATCATTTTAATCAAATGGTGTGCTCATTTGGCAACAAAACAACCATTTATCAACCAAATTATAAATTGAACATCTGTAAATTTGATATAATTATGTCAAATGATGTACATTTTAGTCAAGGTTTAACTTGAAATTAGTTATTGTGTTTTGAACATTGGTAACATTAAGCATTAGTTATGCCTTATCCAGGGCTCAGCAATAAGGACTGCCCGGTGGCCCTCGGCCAGCGTGCGAGGCGCTCTGGACAGTAGACAGAATTGTTACTGGCCTGATTCGTAGTGCCTAGTCACAAAAGTTCAATTTTTCTGCGACAATTTGTCAACTGCATATGAATACAGTCTTAGGGTGCTTTCACACCTGCCTTATTTAGTTCGATTGAGTCGCACTAGAGTTCGTTTTCCCCTTTTGGTACGGTTCGTTTGGGCAAGTGAAAATGCAGCAATCGTATTCGTGTACCGTAAATAAGTGTACCGAGACCTGCTTGAAGAGATGGTCTCAGTACGCTTTCAAACTAACCCTGGAGCGGTTCGTTTGTGGTGAGAATATGATCCGTACTAAAACAGGTCCAATCGCAAAAAGTACTGCGCATTTTGGACTAATTCAGCTGCCAGACGGATGCGCTGTTCATTATGGAATATGGAGGAAAAATATTTGTTGACAGCGCTTTACCAACAGAGAGAGAAAGAGAGGAAAACATTACCTGATGGATTGTTGTTAAAATTTCCGCAAGATGACCATGTCAGAGTTTAGCTAAATGAATTCACGCCTCCTCCTGAAGTGACGTGTGATGCATTAAACACTGTTTTCCAGCTGCGGCAGCGCTTCATTCTCGAAATGTATAGTTTGTCTAAAGCCGGCATACAATCAGCCAGCGCAGTCGTCCCTCCAGAGTAAAAGGTTTTGTTTACTTGCAGGAGTTCACTGGCATTTTCCCGCACTTGAATTCTGACCAATCAATAAGCAGTTCAGGAAATATGCTCAACAACATCTGGCCAATGAGAGATGTGGATTTTGTCAGATGACTGCGTTTTGGTGTAAAAACGACCCAAAGACGGCAGAT